AAAAAAAAGTTTGGACTCCCTCATTCATTAGGGATTTATATAAGATTCTAACATTAAATTTTATTTTTCACCGAATAGGATCGAGTAGTAGTGTATAGTGCTTCCACACCACAGGTCTGGGGTTCTATTAACGGGCTGCGCAAGGTCAACTCTGTCTTTCATCCCCGCTACATTGGGTCGATAAATGTGTACCAAGCTTGCTTCTGGTCTTAAACACTGAAGGTCTCTCTACAGACAGACCACCAAATTGGGACATCTGTTCATGCACCTTAGCGTCCAATGGTCACGTATATTATGATGGGCACAGTAGTTTCTGGCCCTCATAGATTGTTGTGCCTCTGAGTTTAGTTTTAAGTTTGAGGATTACCTCACTTTGGGGATACCCCTTAGATAAACATGTATTTCCACTCATTTGCAATTAAACATTTTTCTTTCAATTACGTTTATTTCAGAAGGAAGTTTGATTTTTCAAATGTATTTGCTTAATAACATGTACATTTGTGTATTATATTAAAATTTTGATCAATCCAAAATTATATGTTTTTATTCCTCTAAAAGCTTTTTAGGATTTTTTAGAACTCATCTTATAATCCATATACGTTTTATAGTAGTATGTTTAAAAATGATAAAGACATTTTTACAACTGTTTGAGCTGTTATGCCTCGTTTATAAATATAAAAAAATTGCTTGCAGCTACAGTTTTTAAAATGCACAGAAATAAGTGGAGAAATAGGATACTTACATATTATGAATATTTTTGACCTGAGTAAGATATATTTATATTTCAGTTTCTTTACAATTTGAATAGAAGTTGTAAGCCATTTTGCAAATAGTTTGATATTGAGTATTAACCCATAGGCTGTTTAATATTGTAAAGTGTTTTACTTTGATACCAGCACACATTAAAATAAGGCTCATTTGCAGTTATATGATCAGCTTCAGTGATATTTAAATTTTCAAGAATAGTCTACACGTACGAAAACATTCTTTCACAACCGCACACCACATCTCATACTATATCTTCCCTACAGCAGGAAATATTTGTGTATACTGAAAAATTTAATACTGGATACATTTCCAAGTGTTAAATTTGTTTTTAAAATTTGGTATGAATACATTGTGGAACTGTCGGTTAACTTCACTGAACCAAATTGTTTTAAGTGTACTGTTTTGAAAGACAAAATTAATTAGGGAGAACTTTTCTCACAATAGAATTTGTAATGACTGAATTGTGTGAAAATGTAGTTATCGATGTGTGACATTTTTCCTTGTAATAAAAGAAACATAAAGATAAGAAATTTAACTTGAGTAGAAAATGGTTAGAAGTACTGTCATGCGCATTTGAAGAAGTATATCCCCCATTAAAATTAAAAATTATTTACTGAATGTGTGTTATGTCCATCACAAATGCCGATGTAGAAAATATATTTTTATTTAATACAAGGAGTTCGAAACGGAGAGCACTAGGAAGGAAAATTTAGATTTTTTCCGAAAAATATTCAGGTTACATAAAATATCATTTATATGATTACTATTTAAATAAATTAAAAGTATTGAAATCATTTTTTATGTTATTCTAAATTAAAAATATAATTGAATAGAGAAAGATCTGTTTTATTTCATAAATATGCACCATTTATGTCTTATTGTTTAAAAAAAAAGATAGGGCCTTTACTCTTTTTACCTCATTACTTTTTTTAAAAACATGAAAGTGAACGCGTTTTCTTACTCTCATATTCAAAAATGAGTACAGAATGCTTTTTTCTGGTTCAAATCGCAATACCAATTTTTTTTTTTAATTTTTAAAAATGACAGAAAAATAAATTTTGTTTGAAGAAAATATAACTATTTTTCAACTTTTTACACGCCATTTATTTCATATTTTTTTACCCTGCATTTTGTTTTTTACTGTGACTGAATCTATGGGGAAAACGACAGAGTAGAAAGAACTACGGTTTTAATACAAGATTGCCCAAGGCAACTTAACAGCTAGCTGTAAAGGATTGCTATCCTGGTTCTCAATGATCAAATACGCCGAACCAAGTCAAAAAAGTTGTCCCCTTTCGACCTCCCAAGTTTTAAAAGGGGGAAAGAATTGAAGTATGTTGCATTTTTGAAGGGAATAGCAATATAAGAGTAAAACGTTTTCGGAATAACTTTTCAGGAGGAAGGTATCCAGTTAGAGGGTTAAGCAATAAAAGTGATTTTGAACTGATTCATCACAGGAAGAGGCACGCTTTGGATTACGATTTATGGCAATAAATTATGTATTTGCATTTGGAAAACTTATCCATGTATACAATGAGAAATTAAATGTTTTTTAAATGTTTTCATGTGTAACTTAATGACATATTTTGCTTGGATGCCATTTTTCATAAATTTTGTAAATAATTTACTTATTTTTGAAACGTGACTTTTTTATGTCGTCCCCCTCCGCTGCATAAAAATAATTCTGTAAAGTTGTTTGTTATATAAAAGTATTTATGAAATTTTTTTGAAGATTTTTTGTGCGATCTCTTTTTATGCGCTCCCTATTAACAGGTTATAAAATATTTATAACAGTTGTGAGCAGTAGTATAATGCCCTGGAAAGCCAGGTTTTGCGCTCCAAGCCGGATCTTACTAAAACTTGAAAAGCCATAACATAACGTAGGCTTTGGGCCCTCTATAATCTTGGGTGCTCGCTCAATGAGGATGTGTACGTTATACCACTGGTTGTGCCAAAAAAAGATTGTAGTTGCATGTTTTCTGTATTCTTCTGGTTAACATAATTAACAAAGCCTGCATGGTTATGTCAGATGAAATGTATGATGGAATTTTAAATAAGAAATTGTGTATTAGTTCACTTAAATTCTTATTATAAAAAGGAATACTTTGGAAGGATGTTTTAAATAAACTTGTGCCATTTTTAGAGTATAGTTAAATACTTAGTACCAAAATGTTCAACATAGAAAGAAAAGTAATACATATTTCTCTTTTTGTCAAAAATCAAATAAATAAGAGAAGTTAAGATAATAATTAAATATTAGACGCCTGAGACAACTAATGAGAATTATGAATTTTTTTCATGAATCCGAAGACTGGAGGGGTACTTTACTTTTACACACCGGAATAAAATTTCTTACTAGTTTTACTAGTGAATGTGACAGGCTATCGAAAATGCTGTAATAAATGGAAACACAACAGTAAACTTTATTCTGTATGTGGTTAGGTACTCTTCATCCATATATTCTACTTTTCATGGAATTCCTTGTTACTATTTATCGCAAAACTAATTTATTACGAGGGAGTAAAAGGGGAAAGTTTACAATATTCATCTGCAGTAGTACGCGAGGAAAATGTTTAAACACGAGTAAAATTAGGAAACCTTTTACTGTTAATTTATTTTTATCTTTCTCGGCAATTTTCTTTTCCTCAAAAGAAACTTGTACTGCATCTAAACATTTACATGTTTTTAGACAATACTAGGTAAAATCATACTTTATTAACAGTGCTTCATTCAAAAGCTGCAATCCCATATGAAGTTTAATTTGATAATTGGAGCTCAAAAAATATAAATACATAAAATATTTTGATATTTGAGAGGTAAAAAAAGAAGTTCAAAATTTATCAAAACTTTAAAATATTCATTGCTGATTACAGCGTATTTAAATAATAACAGTTTTTATAATAAAATTTAAAAAATGAGAAGAATATTATTATAATTTAGGAAAGCATAACTTGATCCTATTAGCGTTTATTCTCACCAAAAAATATTATTCAGAATATAAAATAAATACTCGAAATTGAATTTCGCAATCACAATTGAAAATATGCACTTGTGAATCGCGATTTTGAATGTTCCGGAATGTTACGAAAGCAAGTCAAATTTTTAGATTGTTATAAAATAAAATAGCCTTTTCCCCCCTTCATATGAATGGCTGAATTTGTCTTTCATGATTTAACGAGATTTCGTGATAAAATAAAATTTCATCTTGAATGTGAAAGAAAGAAATTATACCAAAATAAGCAATACTTGATACCTACGAGAGAAATTTCTTCTTTCTCGAACGTTGAGTGAAATATTCTAAAGGACTGCAGAAAGCGTAAGAAAAGCTCTTCTTTTCCCTTCAAGAACAGCGATCGCCATAGCTCTTCCTCTTAGAGGGAGGACTCCATGAAGATAAATGCGCCATTGGGAATGACAGTGTTTATGCTCTTCCCCACACTTCACTTCTGGTATTGCAGAGAATAAATGACCTTTCGATTTTCCGAGTTCGAACGTTTGTCCCCGGAAGTGATTACAAGTCTTTCCAGACATTCTTCCACCCCCGCATTGAGGTCACGTGCTTATTCCGAACAGTCATAAATCATTCCCCCGAATTCCCTCATCGCGAGAAGGAAATTCACCGGCATGGCATCGAGATCGTAAAATCGCACAAAAATCAAAAGACGCATTTTCCCCTTTTGCATGTCGGAACAAAAAGAAAAAGAAAGTTTTATGAGGAGGTGCTCCAAATGTAAACACCAATATCTGGTTGAGGAAAGCAAAAATTATCTTTTCTTAAGAAAATACTTACATAGAAATTGATACGTTACCTCTAACTTGGATTACCCCTTTCGTGGCCATTTAATTCTCTTTTGAATTCCTTGCAGTTTTGTATGCTTTTTTAAGTAGTGGGAAAATGCAGCCATTTTGGCTACAACTTTTGCTCCAAAAAAATAAATAATTAGGAAACCAGACTTGGCTGTCTGCAAAAATGGCCTGACTAATTGTCAAAAGAATAAAAATACAACATTGCATTTTTTAAAAGACTCCCTGTTGAGTCGTCGCTGACAACCTCGACTCTGGGCGATCTTGGGATGCTGCGCTGGGCAAACTGCTCTATGATGAACTCTTTCTCAAAGGTTGAGGCAAATCCTGATCTCCTGGAGTCCTTTTATCTGTGTAAGTTGTAGGGCCTTGCTCAACTCTCCCTGCTCGTTTTTGCTGCATCCTCACCTTGGCTCTTCCTTGATTCTGCCCGGCTTGCTCAGCCGGTAGAGCATGAGACTCTTAATCTTGGGGTCATGGGCTCGTGCATCATGTTGGACGCCTCTGTAACAACCCACTTGGGGATGTTGGTGTTTGGGGATTTGAGCAAAGATCAGCCATAGCACTTTTACATATGATTTCTTTATCCATTTTACTTAATTAACCAACACAAAGAAGGGTAGAAAATGCACTTGATAAATAACAGTAACAGCCGTGAGTGACTTTCTCCTGAAGTTTCTCCTTCACCACCTTACCTACCTAAGGGTGGGGGAGGATTGAAAATAGCACCAAAGATTCCATAATAACAGTTTTTTATTTATTGAAACATACTAACCAACAACTTATTCTCAAAGTGAATGTCAAAGGAGTGGCATAGAGAAAGCAATGACTATTAAGCAAATATGGGCAAGTAACTTATTTAACACAGCCTAATCTATCGTAAATTCATGATCTTAAATTTACTAATTCAACACAGTAGGCAACAACACCACTTTTAATTTTTACATGCTAAAATCAACTTTATTCAATCTCAACTGCGTAGCCAATGTAGCAGCTTCTACCTCCTTCTACTATAATTACAAAACTCTGACTTTAAAATAGTTGAACTAATCTGAATATCATGTTTTCTTCTTGAGGGGGTGGCTCTGAATTAAACGTGAATGCTAGCCCAAAGATTACCCAAGAGGATTAGTTAGAGGACGCGTATAGATTCATCACAGAGCAATCGCACAGGCTTAAGAATACTAACATATAATTAAGATTTACTTAGCAGCCCATCCGGCACTGTGACTAGGGACACTGACTGCGGTGTCGTAGGGCATGGGTTCGAATCCCGGAGAAGGCATGGATGCTTGTAAATGTATAGTGACTTCGCGGTATGGGGTACTCTAAATAGCCATCGAGCCGCAAATTCTCTCGTGAGGTTTCTGGAAGGGGTGGGGGATCCTGACCAATCCCAGGGTTTTCTCCCTCAAAATTGGGGTTGACAAAGCAAAATCGTACTGTTACCTGCATGGTGCTCAAATCCAAGGCTAACGACAGACATAAAAATCTAGTCCTAAGCCGCGATGAATTTCATGGACCTTGATTTAATGTTACGTCCCCCAAGCGACATAAGCAATAACAACAGCTTACTTCCAGAGCATTATTGACTCCTACGCTTCAATTCTCTGCAAATATTTTGCTTACCTATACTACCTCCACTCGTATATCCTGTTTACAATTAATCACTTTTAATCTCCAACTATCAACTATCGATCCTCTTCCGTCGACCATCATCGTGTACACAAATGCCAAAGCTTAAAAAGAAGAACTCATTTAACTAAATCTCGTCTTCTTCTTCGAGGAAGTTTTCAACAGAACTTATATTTAAAGAGAATAAATTTACCCCAAGAGGATTACTTGAAGATTCGACGATAGACCCGTTACACGCCTTGTAGAACACTTGAAAAAATACCATCCTAGACTAGATCACTAAACTGATAGTACACCATGTATTTTGATCTAGAATATTAATTCAGTAAATGTATTGTTTGCAACTACATATCTATTACTACAACGTAATATTTTCAAAAATAGGAGAAATACGTGTGCCAAAATTAAAAACTGAATTCATAGCGTGCCTACAGGAAATCATTACATCCATTTCGATTTCCTAATCGTTTGGCGGCTTTGGCATAAGACTGGGTTCTCTCAATTGCGCCAATGAAATCGGATTCCTACACTGCTCAAAGCCCACGGTCGACAAGCTTAGAGCCTTACGATTGGCTTAAGGCTAATGTTAAAGAATAGGACTCAAATCCAGAATATTTTTTCGGATATAAACTTTAATATTATAATCTGACTTTACTATCCTGTAGAGAATAACATTTATTATACTACTCATTTTTATCCGAGTTGACCCATTTTTTTATTTTATAAAATGTGTTTCTTATTTATTCTCCTATACCATTGTTTCCTACACTCCTCTCTTAACTGTAACTGAGTGCGCCATACTTTCCCGCCTTCCTACCCCAACGGAAACTTTTGAACCCCATACCGGGACTTTCTGTAAACTGAAATGCAACGGAAAGACGCAAGGTCTTGTCCGCATCTATCCGCAGCACCTTCAAAGGTGTAATTTTCATTTAACCGCATTATCACCTTTTAGTGTAAACTTTAACTGTAAATATTTATTTTCTTGTAATATAAACATAAGTACTATCTCCATCTCTGTGCTATTATTCGAACTCAACCAACGGCAACAACCATAATGCTAAATGAGCTGTCCATTTACATGTTAAACGGCAAAACTAATTAGTTATGAAACAGTTGCAAGTTTTAAAAACACTACACTATAAACAAACGCAAGAGTTACAATGTCACTAATTTTTATAAAAATTGAGGCATTTTTTCAATCCAAAAATGGTTTCCGCGTTAAGTCAACGCCCGTGTGCATATGGCGAAAATAGCCTTAAACAGGCCGAGTCACGACGGCCTGGGCATTCTTTGACATCTGATCCACTCTGTGTAATGAGAAGTCTTTTTTACACAATCGAAATGTTAAGAACTACTGTGTGCATATATATGTGTGTGAGACTGAGTTATTTTTATAATAACATTTTATTGAAAGAAAGTTATATTATTACTAAGGATTTTTATCTGTTTAGATATGCAAATGATTTGATACTCTCGGGGGAAAATTTTGAGTATGCAGGGTTATCAGAAATGAAGCCCCGATTACAAAATTTAACAATTTGCAGATGAATCAACAGAAAAGGAACATTAATATGTTATTGTAAAGATAAAATATGAAATTGTGAGTGTGTAACACATTGATTTCGTGAAACAAGTGGCAGCAAAATGTTGTGTTTGTGAACAGAAGAGGAAATCGGGAGAAGGCCTTTTGTGTGCTCTCGTTTGAAAATAGTCTGTCAGTGATCACGGTTCAGCATGAACTTCGAAGAAAGTACCATAGAAATGCGCCGACATCTAAGATTGTAAGAAGGTGGTCCAGGAAACTGGATGCTTGTGGAAGTCCAGGGTGACCAAGTTCGCAATGATGTGACTGAAGGAAGTCCCATGGAACACATTCGTGAAAACCAATTTTACTTGAAGTCAAGAAACGTTACGTACGATACATTTTCATATTTTATATACATAGTGATATTTTAATTATCATTTTATGTTTATTCATCTGGGAATTAGTAAATTTTCTAACCGGGTATTTCATTTCTGATAACCCTGTGAATTAAAAACTGACTTTTTATAAAATGAATGATCTTAATTGTAGTTCAATTAAATGACATTTTCCCCCTTTTTTTCGCTACTGTAATATTCATATTTTGATTTACGAAAGCAAGCATTTTAATTAATGAATGCTCTTAATTTTAGTACAATTAAATTACCTTTTCCGTTTTCGCTACTGTAATATTCATAATTCGATTTACGAAAGCAACCTTTTTAATTATTTAGAATTAATTACTGATAATCTCTTTTACATATATGTTCCTCTTTTTATTTTAATGAAGAGGCATAAGAAGGGAACTTAATACACGGAAGGAGAAATCTGTTTTATTTAATATTCAATCAGAAATGCCATTTTTATTCTTGTACTCTCTAAAAATATTCAAACAAACAAATCATTAACTATAACGTATTCAATAATTGAACTCATAAATTTAAATGCATGTATCTTAGTATAGTAAAAAGAAATTATTGATTGTCAAAAATAAGCACGGTTTCGAAAAGGATTTTGCAAGCAAAATGAAAAGCCACTTTATCTATTTTAAGATTTAAATTCAAATTTCGAATATAATATACTGCTGTTTATAAGAAATGCAACACCATGAAGGAATCATCAGAATTAAATGAACTTTGTGGCAAATATCAATTATAGTATGTTACGTAAAATGGTAAAGTTTCAGAGCCACCGCGCATGCCTGGCGTGCGCAGTGCCCTCTGAACTGATGCTGAAAGCGTGTAAATAGAGGTCTGTAGCGGGATGTTGAAAATAGTTAATGATTATTTGTTAGTGATCAACATTTAGAGAGACCTAAATATGCACATCCACGACGAAATAAGGAGAAAAATTCCAACAAATTACGGAGTTTGAATGAGGGAGGATTATCGGCCTTACAGAAGGAGAATTTTCCTATCACGCAATAGGTGCTCGTGTGCAACGGAACAGTTCCACAGTGATGCAAATTTGGAAGTGGTGGACCGACGAACTCCGAACAACTCGAAAAACTGGCAGTGAACGACGTCAGCGAGCGAAGATTGATACCTGCTCCGCATGGTGGCGAATGACCGTACAGCTTCCTCCAGGCAATTGGAAGCTCGTTGATCTCCTGCTACAGGGGTACTAATGTCGGCTTCGTCTATTCATTGACGTCTGCTGCACCGTGAATTGCGTGCAAGGGTGCCTTTATACAGGATACCCCTCACGGCAAACCATCGATGGCTGCGTCTGCAATGGGCTCATGAGCACAGAGCCTGGCAAACTGATTAGCACCAAGTTGTCTTTTCAGATGAATCACGCTTCAATTTGTGGGGCCATAACGGCCGCATTCGTGTTAGACGCTCTGCCGGTGAACGCTACCTTCCAGATTACGTTATCGAACGATATAGTGGCCTAACACCCGGAGTTAAGGTTTGGGGTGCGATTTCATATCATGGACTAACCAATTTGCTACGAATTGAGGGTAATCTCAATAGCAACAGGTACGTCCGTGAAGTCCTACAGCCCGAAGTCGTTTCCTTCTTTTAAGGCATCCCTGGAGCTATCTTTGAGCAGGATAATGCACGCCCACGTGTTGCAAAGACTGTTCGAGACTTCTGTTCAGCCCAACATGTGCAACTTCTTCCTTGGTCTGCTTATTCGCCGGATATGTCGCCTATTGAGCACGTGGGGGATTTGGTTGGTCGGCGTCTCGCTCGTGATCCATATCCTGCAGCGTCAAAAAACGAACTTTTGCTGCGCATATAAGCAATATAGAATTCTTTTCCATGAAGCAGACATTCCAAATCTGTTTGACTCCATGCCACGTCGTATAGCAACACTTATTGCAGCACGTGGTGGC